TTTGCGGGATACATAGCGTTGTGCACGGGATACATGTTGGATACATGCGGGATACATAGGTAAATAAGGGATTTATGAAAATTTTGAAATAAGTAGGGATAAATGGATATTAAGGTAAGTAAAGGAGTGTAGTTAAGTAATTTGTCCTATCCGAAATTGCTAGTTAATTGTTTTTTGGATGATAATAAATCAATTGTAGGCTAGTAATAATTGTTTTACTTTTCTAATAGGAAATTAATAGAACAAGTCATCATCTTCCATTGAATTTTGTAAAGAAAGTTCAATTCATATCCAAAAATCCTTTTTAAAGCAGGGACGGATTCATGTTTTGAAGGTTACCATGGTTCCTGCAATAATCTCAAGTTAACATAGAATAATATCTTCGCTCATAATCAACTATTTTTGTCAATATTTTGTTGATTTAATTTCTTAACACAAAATACTTGGACAAAAACAAAAGTCATTAGGTTCTCATCAATCCACACCTTAAGAGCTAGATCCGCTCCGTTTTAAGGAAGCTTCCACAACATTGCAAAGACTATATAACCCATTCATTTAAACAATTAATTTCCCTTTATGGGATGGTAATATTTGTTGAATTAGCCAAAGCACGTGGTGTGACCGCAGCATTTTTTTTTCCTCCACCTTTTAGATGGCAAAAAGACTTTCTATAATTGATGACTAATTAAGGGGTTATGAACTATAGTGATAAATTGTCATTTCTATTGAGAAGACATGTAAATAAAACTAGACTAGGAATCTCAAAAAGGTTTTGAGATGAATACCATTAGTATAATGAACATCACGATAAAAACATTATACTACATATAAATATTGGCTTTTGATCATCTTCATAATACTATTTTTGATCATGACAAAATGTAATTCTTATTCTACTTTCAAATTTTAATTATTGGTGCAATAGATCATAGGAACGTTTCATTCAAATAACACTCAAGTGTGAATTTGAACTAAGAAAATGATGCATACGTAGATAATATTTTGAATAATTTCGTAAATCTATCCATATCCATATAGAATCATAAGAAATAGAATATGCTAATGATACCTGGTGGAGGACTTAACTATATTACATATATAAAGAGGAAAAAAAAAACTTATTTTAGTTTAAAATGCATTGAAATTCAAACTAAATGGTCCTAGATTCCTAGCTTAGCTTTTTAATTTTTAAAAAAATTGAAAAATAAATATTGAAGGTTAGTTAGTTAACAGCCCCCACGGAATCAAAACAATAGTTCTTGGAAGATATGCTTTTGTTTATTAAAATCTTCATTTAATAACATGTAGGTTAAAATACGATTTATTTCGTTCACTATATTAAAAATAGATATCCACTTCTATTTGTTCAGTTTAAAAAATCAATAGCTAACGTTATCGCCTTATTATTAATTATGTATATCATTTTTTTAAATATTAAATTTATTATATTTAAAAAATGATATATATTATATGAACTGGTTAGTGTGAAGAAAAAGAAAAAGTCAAAACAAAAAAACAAAAAAAAAGGATCCAAAAAATCGGCTGCCTTTGATGAGAAAGGCTCAACAGTCAACCAATAGCTATTTGACTTTGACTCTATTAATTGATAAAAACGATACAAATGGGAAAAATATTTTTTTATTTTCGAATAAAACTAATTCAGTTGGTTCATAAAATTACAAGTTGCAGCAGAATTTAAGCAAAAAAATGTTTTTCTTAGAACGTTTCAATAAAATATTGGAAAATTTTCTTGTTTGTCTTTAGCTTTAAGAAAGAACAATTCAATATATTTATATTAACTTTTTGGTGGGAATGTTCAGAAGTTTCGTAAAAAACCAAAGTTGAGTACACATTTGTTCATATTGCAACTTATTAATTTTGTTTGCCAAAATGCATGCAGTACGTTTTACTTATTAATTTCTTGAAAGGAAATATTACGGTTCGAGCTTTGAAAATAAAATTGTAAGTCTTTGATAAAAAAAAACATTTTATTTCCTTTATTTGAATTGAGTTTATTTTTTGTGCGAAAATGAAATTCGAAAATAGTAAAGATACGGGGCTTTTCGCAGTATGGTTTTTGTACAAGCTGACCACTTTAATTTGCCCAACTAAAGTTTGAAGTTTAGCTTGTAATTTAATTACTTGTTGATTTTAGTATGGAAAATTTGACGGTGCAACCTGTTTTGACATTGTTATGAAATCTACATACTCTCCTTGTTAAATTTTGAAGTCATACAGTGTCTGAAGTTAGGTTTGATAAAATCAAACTTCAGATAAAAGTTTCGTATGAATGTAGTTTGTGCATTTCTGCTTGAAGTTCAAGCAAAATGGTTGAACTTTAGTCATTCTAGTTCTAATCGTTAGCCATTTCTTGCTTGAACTTAAATCATAAATGTGCATATACTTGGGACAAAAAATGATTTATATCTACTGAACTTTAGTCAAGACTAACTTCAGACATCATATGTTTGAAGTTGTCCTAAAGTATATACACATGTAAAAGAAAAAAACCTTTAAAAATGATCACAAGTTAAATAGCAGCGTTATAATTGGGTATTCGTACATATCGCCCATTTTAGCAGGGTGGTAACAAAGTTATAAGCTCATGAAAACACATGATTTGTGCCACCTATCTAAGTTTAGATATACTAATGACCCGTTCATTTATTTTGATCCGTTCAGTATCTCAAACTGATTCATGAAGAGATCTTATTAAATATTTTAGTTTTTCATCTTGTTTGATATGTTATAAAAAGTCATAATTTATTTTTAAAAAAAACTCATTTTAGCTCAACTAATCTTTGAACGTGTGAATTTCGTATCTATAGAAATCTTTCCCATTAATAATCCACTTATTGACTAACTAAGCCCATGTAAATTTCCCCATCTTGTAAAATGTTTTACATATGTTTGTTCCCAAATATAACTTGTAAATCCAAGTTGACCTCAATAATATTCCTCACATGAAAAACTATTATTTTGTCATTTTGTGTAGGCAAGACTTTGATATTTGGATTGAAATTATTATATTATTAAAAGATGGGGTATAGATTTGAGTGAATGAAATTAAAATATTTTGCTATATATTGAAGATGTCAATTAGTATTAAATTAGGTGAAGCACATGGAAAGAGTAAGTCAAAATTCAAATAGCGATCCTCCGCCATATGAGGCTAAATTGGAATTATATACGTACCTCCAAACACAACAGCGGTCAATTTTGTTATTATTAGTATTATTTGTCACTTCGCAGAATAATTGACCATAGATTTGGCATGCCCAATAAAGAATTACATATTCTAGCAAAATAAACTTTTTTTTGTGAGAAGATATTTGCATTCACAAAATTCTATTAATTTTTTTTTGTGCAATTAAAAGTATAAAGTACATAAATCCAATACGGGCGGATTTTATATTCTATTCCAAAAGTTTTTTCACTTACAAATTTTTTAAATTTTTCATTGTTCTCGGATACATTTCTTGGTTGTCCGATACATTGCAAATGATATATTACTTAATGGAAGGGATGTATCCGAGAGGGGATAGGTATGTATCCGAGAGGGAAGGGATGTAAGGGAATAGGGATGTATTCGAAAGGGATTTTTTGTAATTTTTTTAAATGGTAAGAAATTTTAGAGATTATAATATCTTAAGTTGTGTATTTATGTAATTTTTCTTAATTAAAATGTATACCGCTAGAGACTAATTTTATTATTATTTGACAGTTGTTAATTTGTTGGCATGGAGTGATGGTATGCGTCTAGAATTAGCACTTTCCCACTAAATTTCAGGTAATGTTTTTCATAATTTTAATACAGGGATTTATGTGAATTAAAAAATAATCTGGAAGTAAAATTAAATTTTTCATCTTGATTTGTTTGCTTTGTGATACGGCGATCGACTAGCTTGGTCAAAATAATTAGTTCATATTAGGTTAATAACTGATACTATCAAATCATGTGTGTTTAGTCTTATTATATTCTGATCTTGTGTGTGTTAATAATTTGTCTTCTAGATTAACATTAGTTTATCAAATTGTCTAAAAAGTAAACTTAAAGTTCAAATAGTGAATTGTGGGAATTACCTAACATTAGGCTTCGATGTATTCCAAATTTTATTGGCTGGAGAGATACTAGTCCATGCACAGCCCAATTAACGATTTGATTTTGTAATTCAATACAAATTTTGTTATTCTTTTCGCAGGAAATGTATAAATAAAATACGAGAGGATCATTTTCTTATATTCAAATAATAAGTGAACACGAGATAATTTCCTCTGCAAAATTTCACAAACAATAAAAAAGGTAAAACAATTGCATTAGCCATGAATAGTTCAAGTTTTGCTGAGTAGAGAACACAAGTACAATTATCATGCTTATATTTCTTTATCATATCACTGAGTAACGAGGAACATATACGACTATGAAAGGCAAAGGGCAAAGAGAACCAAAAAAAAATTTGAATACATGTATGTGGTAATTGATATCATACAAATTATTGTCACGAATTTTGAGGCAGAATCTGAAAATAATTCCTTCCTTGTGTGCGTGCTCCAATTTAGCAACTGCTACTGATACTACTTCCACAAAACTGTTGGCAATTACATGCTTTGCAAGCTGACTTTGAATATCAAGTTGAGATCATCTTTCAAGAGTTCTCTACGACTGTTTCATCCGACCTGTGCACATGCAAGAAGAACTTCAGACAAATGGTTCTACCAAATAATTCCAAGCACGAAAATGCACACTAGGATGATTCATCATACTATTTGAGGGGGGTGAAGTGACGGAGCAGATCATGGCATCAACATTGCATCGGAAACAACTTGGCTTGACGGAAAATTGCTTTTGTAAAAGATTATATGCAGAAACTATTTTACCTTGAGAAACTATCTTCTGGATCATTTTCAATGTTTTAGGAGTAATGTATTTGAGTGCTAAAGGTTGACAACAGTATCTAAGTGTTGGTTGAACAAATGATAAGGAGAGTAATATATGACATGGAGTGTATGTATATTAATAAAAACTGACTTCTGACTATAAGGTAAAAGAAATCATTTTCTCCCTTAGTGTAAAAAGTATTGTCCTTGGAGAAAAGAACATTTTCAATAAGAAGATAACCAAACACTAAAAACTAATATTCTTGAGAAAAATGATTTCACGTATAAACCAGACAGCACTTTTTTTTTTTGGATAAGTAGAGTAAGAACTTACGCATCAATGAGGGATCTGAAGAAGAATAAAAGAAAGGCAATATATGGACACAGAAATCACGACGCCAGCAATGAAGTTGTGAAGCAGCTTCTGGTTGTCTCTCGTGGGTACGAAAACTGTCTTGAGTGTATTCGTTAGTTCAAAAATCCTATATGATATCTGCAGAAGAATAGTGGAATACCCGATTGAGAAAACAGATGGAGATGGAGAGAAAATGGACCAGATATGATCACAGCAAAAAATATTCAGGAAACTGAGAAGTGGGAGAACATAAGCCTACCAAAACATATATTGCAGTGACAAGCATAAAATTAAGCAAAGGATAATCTGGGATAAAGGACAGGAGCCACTTAGGCTGTCCATTCGGCATATTTGATCTGCACATGAAGTCAAGAAGCAATAAGAACTCAAAGCATCCTGGCCTTATCAACGCAACCAACATAAAACTATACATTCTCTGATGAGTTATAAGCATTGGGAAAAATTACACTCTGGCATTACAAGGAAACCACGTAAGAGTACTGAGAAACTTTAGAGACAGGCTGGGAATAATAAAGTATATTATGTAGGAATAAGGATGTCAATCATTCACAGATAAGGAATTGGTACAGTAATACCTCTAAGAAATTTAGCCACACAGAAAATGCTTAAGTTTAGCAAATTACTTGGAAAATGTCGCAGGGTGATGGAATGTTTTGATGGTTCATGATTAATCAAATAGAGGGCGACTATTGAATTTCTCAAACCAACTCCATTAGAAGTTTAAATGGTTAGAGATAATATTTCAGGTTTGCAACATATCCCTTATGCGCAAGATGATTCTATTTTCTTAGGTTAAGCATGTGGAAAGTGTTGATAGGTGACAAGTGAGACTCAATGAAGAATCTCAGAAATACCACATCAAATTGTGTGACTTGTCTCATCTAAAAGTTCAAATACTAAATGTGGAATAGTTTTATTAATTTATTTCAGGTCTGAGACAACAACCATTATATATTTAAAAGAAGAGTGAAATCCACATACCTCAGCCAGATGTGGAACTGTGAGATATAGGTTTCCAAGGTGATTTTTCCCAGCCACCTAGAAAGTAAGAGCACTTAACAGTTAAAGAAGCCGAAAGAAAAACAGTCCAACTATGTCTAAAGATAAGATGAAAAAATTAATCTTCTGGACAGGAAAAGGAAGGTATAAGGTCTATGATTGAGCACCAGCACCAAATGAGTCAATAGAATCTTACGCAAAGAGAGTCAAAGAGAAATTCCGTAGCTCCTGAGTAAAATTCCGCAAGCAGATGTAAACACTGAAAAAAGGAAAATAAAATGAGAAAGTAGCACAAGAAGTCAGGAGAGAAATCAATGATATACTTTCTTTGTTTTGGCACATCATAGGCAAGCAATGGTTGGTGTTGTATACAAAGTTCACATTTGGAAATGAAGGGCTAAAACAGAAATTAAAGAAAGTTTAATACATACGTTATGGGGATCCACGACGTGTAGGGATGGAGCTTGTTGTATGAGTTCTTGTCCAGCTTGTATATGTATTCAAACCACAAGTACCCAGCCTAAGCAAGACGGATGAAAAAACTTTACGAATTGGAGGAAGAAGAAAACGGGAAAAAGAAAGAGACACACTGTAGCAGCAAAATAAAATTGGTGTTATGCTAGAAACACGATAAATTTACTCACAGCTACAGCAACAGCAACAATTGATGTCTTAATTGTTCGTCTCCGCTTAGGTTCAGACTCCTCCAGTTTCTCCATCCATTTTTCAACCTGAAAGGACAAGATACACCAAATGTAAGTCCTTAACAACAAATGAAAGACAAAAAAGAATAAAGAATTAGAGTTCTATTAAGCTTACATTAGGGTGAAAGTAGGCATATATCATGCCAATAATCCATATATAACGGTCCAGCCCAGATCTGAAGTGCCATTCATGCAACCGAGGGAGATCTGGCTTGGCTGGATCAGTGTACCCTACAGTTTGATAAAGTAGAAAACGATCATCACGTGACAGGGGTTAAGCCAGAATCTATAGAAAGATAAAAAAAGAAAGGACAACAAGAAAAAGGGGGAAAAGGATTCTTTGGCGTTCACCCTACTACTTGAAATACAAAATACCACTTGAAACAGTTGTGTAGCATTGCCACTACAATTATATATGTCACCTTACTTGCATATAATCATTGCACCTAAGACAAGCACCTCTTAGCACGAATATTGGTCCATCAGTTCATTTTGCTACGGATAGGTGATTTTCATAAAGATGTCAAATCAAATTCTACAACTATTTATGAACCATGTTACTTTTTGTTTTGTTGTTGTTGATAACCGTTGTGTCCCGGCACACCTTGACTAATTCCACGGGATCCCTTATACCTCCCACCAGCAACATGTATCTGTCCACCAATTTTTTGTGTCTCTACTGGGATTTGAACCTGAGACCTCATGTTTTTCAACCCATGAAATATGGAGATATTAGTTTTGAGAACTTCTTATAACCAAATTTTTAATGATGGCATTTGTCATTACTTATAGCCATACTATTCATCTTACGCATAATATTGCATGAAAAAGTAGGTAGCATTTTCCACAACACAGTTGAAGTGACATCCAAGGCGAAGTCCTCCTTGTCCGAGCTCATGAAAAAGTAAGTATTTAAAAGTGATTTGGAGAAAGAAAAAGAGCAAGTGCACCGTAACCAACCTAACATTAATGTGAAAGGGCCCCAAAGAAATTCAAAAACTCCAGGAATCTCCCAAATCAGGATAACCACGACCACACACATAACAAGCTTCAAAGCCATCACTGATCTTTTGTCGTTGTAGTTGTAGCCAATGCCAAGGGCTCCATACACCATGAGAGTAAAAAGTGTATGCATTGGGCAGATGTAATACAGCACGTAGTCATTGTTAAGAACAATACAACAAAATATTACGAAGAAATTCAGCCTCCACATCATCTGCACACAGGACAAAGTTTACCACATTAACAACATTGAACCTAAGAAATGTAAGATTAAACTACCAAGAGTCCTCTAACTTAAGGTAATAAAGTATAATACATAATGTTACCTGAGCAAACCGAGCAAGACTAAAATCTTTTCTGATGTAATAATAAGAGAAGTTCCCAAAACCAGTCATCCATACATATGCAGCAATGAAAACACGAATGGCATTGTATATCTCTGTTGCAGCAAAATAATGATAAATCAAAAAGAGGACCTGTTGCAAACAAAAAGATGGATTATTTAGACTCTGCAAACATCATATACTGAAGGAGTATATACGAAGAACCAGGCCAAATCCACAGGAAATAAAAATATATACGCACACACATTGCACAGAGATTCTGCATGATTTACTGCTTCTTAATATTAACACATTGAACAAAGAAGTTGTGCAAGAATCATGTTGCGACTTTGTAAATCATTCACTGACGAGACGGAGAAACAAAGAGAGAAAAGGGAAGGTATTTCTCTAAAGAATTGCTGACTAGATTTACTTCTTACTAAACGGAAGGATAAGTAGATCAAGAAAAATCTTATAGAAAACACTTGCCTGCATCCATCCTTTCCACTCCTCTGTCTGATGACGGTTAAGATAAAGCAAGGATTTTCCAGAAAATGCTGATTTGTCATTGTGTTTCTTGAAAGAAGTCATTGCTGCAACTATGATCAGAAGACAATAGAGAAAGAGGAAGAGATCCCGATTGTAGCTCTGTTCACGGAAAACAAAATAAAACAGAACCTTGTTATTTTGAGCTACACTTGCGAGGATGAAAATATACATCTTATAACTCCACAATGGAGTTGGCACACTGAAAGTATAATTCCAGCAATGATGCAGAAATTATATGATGTCCTGCGTTCTAGCCAAACACCAATGCAGATCCTGTACTAAACTCTCAAAACCAAGAATCAAATACAAAAATAAGGGGATGGGCACAAGAAAGCAAAGAAGACAACAAGTTTATCTAGAATGAGTTTGATGCGTGTGGTAAAAAATTTAAATATGGAGAATCTGAACTTTCCAAATGAACCAATTAAGGTAAAGACAGATCCAAAATTTTCTCCAAAGTAGGAATGAGTTTACACATTAGCATGCATATCATATACTCCCTCCGTCCCTATTTAGTTGTCCATATTTCCTCTTTTAGTTGTCCCTATTTAGTTGTCCATTTTGACAAATCAAGAAAGGACAACAATTTTTTTCCTATTATACCCTTATTTAAATAAAGTTGTCATAAATAAAGTAAATAAATTTATGAACTTCTCAGCATTGATTAGTTATCTTGAATGAATTTATTTTGGAATTGTAAATTGTACTACAAGGGTAAAATGGTAACTTCACTATGTTAATCATTGTTGCCTTAATCTGTGTGCCATTTCTAAAGTGGACAACTAAATAGGGACGGAGGGAGTATATGCTAGTAACCTTCTTTAGAAAAAGACTAAAATTAGTTCCATTGAAGCAAAGCATGCTGAAGTTTTGATAAAATTCTTTCAAACAACATTAAGACAAAAGTCACACAGCACAATTCCACATCGAACAGTTCAATCTGGATATTACCTTCAGGGAATGATAATGCACAAGAAGATTCAAAAAACATTTAGGTTGAACTGGCTGTGTATATTTAACATAGTATGCAGACAAGAAGTTACTCAAGATGCACTACCAATGGTGGAGCCAAGATATGATTTTCACTAAGGATTCAAAATATAAAGAAGTAAAAACACGAAGAAGCCAAAGGGGTTCAACATCTTATATATATATATATAATGCATTACTCTACCTAGCTCCACCTCTGTGCACCACAAAGTGCTCGCTCATGCACGTCCACGAGATTAGTCAAAAGCATGAAGTAGAAAGTCATATCATGATGCATTATTAAAAAATTAAAAGGTCATGAACCTTGGTAGAATCTGCGAAGAAGTTTGTGCGGTCACAGATATAGAAATAAAATAGGATTCCCCCAAATTCGGACCTGTATGATTGAAAGATAACCACATTAGTATGAGGAAAAAGATGCATCCTGCATAATCAAAACAACCAAGAGACTCACATTGCCCTTAAAGTTGCTCGATTTTCAAGCAAAAAGGAGTCCTCCATTGTTAGAAACCTATAAAATTAAAGAAGTGTTTCATGAAGAATTAATTAAGGAAGTTCAAGGAAAATCCACCAATCTGCACAGTGCACTGACCTAACTATATTTGTTTTTATTGATGAACTAGACACCTTCGTAGATGCAGATTTTGACAGACCTCCTTCCAGTAAGACAGCTCGATCTTCTTCCTTGACTGTTGCATTTTCCAATTCAACTAGATTGTTATCTGAATGACTGCTGTCACAGAGAAGACAACAATATAAGATAAAAAAAATTATAATTAAGATAGTACAATTGTTTGTATATTTTTGTGTAGATAAAACAATCACAGTTGCTTTCAGAAATCAAGTTGCCTGAAGATACTGTTCACTAATGATTTAACAAATAGCAGCCATGTCTACAAGGTCCATGGTGAATACTAAAGGGACTATATGAGTTCTCGTACTTTTTCCTTTTCCTTATCGGATGGATTTCAACTGAGTGGTTATTTCCATGTTGAAAATCAAGTGAGTCAACTTAGTGAGTAGGGGGGGTTGTTTACTTCATTGCAAGGATTGAGCTGTTTAACTTACACTTTAGATGGAAACAACCACTTCTTGTACTCCAACCACTCAGAGTATAACCATGCAACAAAGACAGGTATAAATCCAAGCAAAAATGACACCTGCGACATAAAAAGGGAAATCCTTCAGTATATTCTAGATATATTTGCCTTAACGAATAAATGATGAATTGAATAGTGTTCCACGTTGCAGCAGCACAAGTGCAATAAATCTTACTCCATAAAAACTAACACACAAAGATAATTCCACAACAACATGATTCTACAAGTTTATTAATAGATCTTCCGTCCTCCAGGAATTGAAACCCCCATTTCTCCCTCTCTCGCTCTCTCTTCCCTCCCCCACCCAAGCAAACGAACAAAATAGTAAAGGATCTTTTATCCAAATACACATGTTCCTACAAATGAGATTAAGCTTTGTTTGAGTTTCATCAATTGAGTGAGCTGACTGAGATTTGGTATCAATTATTAAATTATTGTTTATTTTTAAAAAATTCTAATAAGAGTTAAGTTTATGTAAGATCATTAAGACACTAAGATAGTGCACCAAAAGTTACAGATTGTGAAATTTTATCGTATCTACATCATTTACAGTGACCAGGTCGCACCAGCTGGCAAAAAAGTACATATGTGCTTAAGGATATGTAAATTTCTCCATTTGCCTTCAAAAGTACAATTGTCTCTTTCTGCCAGATTGTCCACCAAATGACCAAAGGTAAGTGTTCCAAAGCTTGTGAGCTTATTAAATTATTGTTGTTTTTAGGCATCGAAGCGACAAAATTGAACATTCTCTTACAATAGATCAGACTTCCCGTACCTAATATTTTCTGATATATGACATCAAATTTAGTGGTAAGGACATGCTTACAGAAGCAGCAAATTGTTAACAAGGCATCAAACACGACCAATCAATTGTACTATAATTAGCACTTACATGCACCTGATACCTATCTGTTCACTAGAAAGCAGGTTCGCATGAGCAACTCACCATAAAATTCTTTTTAAATCAAACAAAAGAAAAGACAAAAGGTACCAAAGGAAAGAAACTACCTTCATAATGAAGGCAGAAGTTGTAAACAGGGCTAAATGCCACAATCAAAGTTGGTTAGTCATTTTCTAAAGTTCTAAATCTAGCAAGATAAGCCAATTTCTAAAAAGCAAAAATCCACCACTAGCTTAGACCAATTTCAATGATTTAGTTTCATCAGATTAGAGATTTAAAGACAAACAGCATAGTTGGAATCTAAAGTGTACTTATTGGAGTGACCATCATCTGTTTTGGATCTCATGGCCACAATCAACTTACTTATTGTCTCCCAGGGCCTTTCCAACCAACAATAGCGGCGGGGGGGGGGAGGTCCATAGTTATTAAGAGCCATTCCTTTGTTGCATAAAGTGATGTAGCGACGAGAAGCTAGGGGTTATCACTTCATGGGTGAAGCCATGCGCTTCAAAGAAATTTGTGTTTCAAACAATGACTCAAACATGATCAAAAGAAAAATAGACAGTTCTTTGAATCACAATTTTGAGAAGTTGGATTAATATCGGCACTATTACATATCAAATGTTGAAATTGATTATTTTAATGGCAATTTGAGTATTCTAGTCCTACATTCATATATGTTTGGTACTTCTTAATTTTCATAAAATTTTGCGCTTTACTTCTCGCTTTTCGCTTCAAGCCCCATGAACCTTGTAGCTTTCGAGCACTTTTCGTTTATATAAACACACCACCAGATCAAATCATTAAAACTATAAAGTATATAGAAGTTGATGGATGGAACTTTAGAGAAACGTTTTAAATTTCTGAATTACATCTTTTTGACAACGAACTCAAAATCATATCTTTAACCGTCTTATACCGATGGTAACCACCCTACTGTTTCATCAGCTCTAATAACGACAGAATTATGAATATAATAATATCAAATCAGCATGAACTTCCAAATTATTGCTTCTAGTGCACGAAACAACAACAACAACATGCTGCCACCCTCACTATATAAATATGAGCACTTGAATCTTAATATAATTTTGCCGTTTGACCCCTAGCATATATGAAAACAATGTAGCACATCAAAAAGAAACCACCTCAAATAAACAACTTCAAAATTTAACCACTTCAATATACTTTCTAGTACTCAAAGCAGGAAAAAAAAATGGAACAACAAATATTATCACTAGCAAAAAAGCTGTTTGTAACATGCTAGCTTCTGTAATCAACAACAGTCAATTCAGCCTTCAGTCTCCATTTTTGTTGACGAAACACGAATAATTCGTTAACAGTCAGTTAAAAAAACTACAACAATAACATGCTGCAACTCCTTACTAGAATAAACTACTAAACTCAAAATTTCACTGGAAACAACTAGATCTCCTCATCTAAATGCTCTTCTATCAAAATTCAGCAAGCTTCTTATAATTTTAACTAATACACTTCAGTAGTTATACTCTTCAAACAGATCCGACTCAAAAGAAGTCACAATTATTACACATTTCGATAGTTCCAACTATTTATCGGATCCAAATCCAAAATCAAACATCACTAACTTAATAAAGTATAATCACTCATCACTACAACACAAAACGATCAGCAAGAGCATTACTACCTGTCCAGGCGTCAGAGGACCAGAAACTGCCGCCATTTTCCCCCAAAATTATAATACTATATGGATCACCGACAAGTAAAATCTATCGATTCCGGCGAAATTGAAGCAGAGAAAAGCTCAGTAATGAGATTGTGTATTCACATACATTATATGTACGTATATATTGAATAGAGAGAAATAAGTATATATATATATATATATAACACGGAGAAGAATTGTTTCAAACCCCTTCCCTATATGGAGAGATCTGAAGCAACGAAGAAGATGAAGAAGGAGTCTAGGGGGTGGGGGTGGCGGTGGGGGTGGGGTG